AGTCATCCTGACCTTAGTTCAGGTCTCTTCCCACCACTCTCATCCATATGGAGGTGGGCACCACGTGCTGTTTCCTCTGCACAGTGCATTTCTCTCCTTTCCTTTGCCTCAGGACCTCCTGCTGGTCCCCCTGTCCTCAGGGATCCCTACAGACCCTGTAGTCACGGCTTGCACTGCCACCCTCTCACATTTCCACACAGTCTTTCTGTCTCCTCTCCTTTTGTCAGGGCCAGGCATAGAGCTCCAGGGTCTCCTGCATCCCAGACAAGGGCTGCATCACTGAGACACGACCTCAGCCTTCTCTTGTCCTCTCCAAACCTAGGGAGTGTCCTTACAGCACCCATGCTCCTGGGAACTTACTTAAGTGTATTACTTCTATCCTACAGAACGCTACAAGGCGTGTGATTATTTCACCACTCTTATTTGGTGGTCTACCACAATGAAGACATTTCAATATAGTCTTGGCTTCAATATAGAGATTTTACTGATCTTGCCTCAGATACTCTAAGATTAATATTGTAAGCTAACTAAAGATAAGTTTTAACACTCTAAAAAAAGCCACAGAAATCAACGATAGCTTGAACATTTGTTGCTTCTTTTGTGCTGAGTCATCTGGACACTGGCCTTTTTTTTTCTGTGAGTCTTATTGGGAGGCCACACTAATTTTCTCGAATTACGAATGATATTCAAATGTCAAGCTATCTCAGAACAGGGAAGAGGAGACAGTCAGACAAGACCACAGTTTGGAATATCAGAGTCGCAGCTGATCTTAGGTATGGGGTTTGTTTTAGCTTTACAGTTCAGTGGTGGTCAGCCCATGGTCATGTAGTCTCTGTATTTTGAATGGTTGTGAATCTTTATAGTTGAGATACCAGCATAGATGGGGCAAATTTTGGAGACCTCACCTAGTTGAAGAGTGATAGGCAGTCAGTGGCTGCGGAGAGGGTGAGTTGGGTTTATCCAGGAATTGAGTTCCCACAGCTGATGAAATCCTGAGTAGTCAGCCCTAAACACATGAGCATAAGAGTAATATTAGATGAGTGTGTGTGTGTGTGTGTGTGTGTGTGTGTGTGTAAGTATAACTATATCAGGGATGCAATTGTAGTATTCCTGATTGTAATTCTAAAAAGTAAAAACTTTTAAGTTAAAAAATACTGATCACAATAAACAAAGACAAAGAAGATGCTTTAAGGGATCAAATTTAAACTTGTACAGATGAAAAACTACATGGTAAGAGATGAAAACACATCAAATGTTCACCTAAATTTTCTTCTTTGAACCTTTTTTTGAGACAGGATTTATGTGCCTCTGATTTTCTTGGAACCTGCTTTGTAGACTTGGCTGGCTTCCAACTCACAGAGATCCTTCTGCCTGTACCTCTCGAGTGTTGGGATTAAAAGCATGTACCACCTCACCACCTGGATCTGTGTGCTTATTTTAAAATGAATAAAAATGAAGAAGAAAATGAAAATAAATCAGCTTTGACACACATACAAAATGTAAAAATCGAGGACCTTGTAGGATTTGGTTTTACAAGTCTATAATCCCAGCACCTGGGACGGTGATGAGCAAGGTCTGTAACTCCCAGGCTAACTTGTACTTCTTAGAAAGAAAACAGAGCCAGGCGGTTGTGGCTCACGCCTTTAATCCCAGCACTCGGGAGGCAGAGGCAGGCGGATCTCTGTGAGTTCGAGGCCGGGCTGGACCGATAGCCCCCGAAACAATACAGAGAAACCCTGTCTCGTAAAAACCAAAATAAAATAAAATAAAATAAAATAAATAAAACAGAGTGATATGTCTTTGTGAAAGAGTATTTGCCTGGAATGTTGAAGAACCAGCAGTTCTGAGATGCAGCGACTATTCTCTTAATGAGGAGAGAGAACCCACAGGACCTGAGGTAGCAAATGTAACAAAAATCACATGATCACAGTGCCTTATCTACACAAAACACCATCTTGCCATTTAACAATTCAGTCCTAATATTCAGTCCTAATGTAAAGCAGCCTTGTATGTTTTCATATAGCCTACAGTAGATCTCATCCTTTTGATATTACGAAATTCCCAATAATGGTTGCCCAGTGACAGATATAACTAATTTTATACTATATGCATGTTCCCAGCAAGTTGTATGTAAGCATCTTCATGAAGTGAACTGTCTTGTTCTCTAGAAGTAACTCTTGAGGAATTGATTTAAAGTGAAGGAATCTTTATTAATACAAATGTTTACCAACAACTTTCTTTTAAATACATATTTTTCTATATGGGTAATTACAGTTTTTAATAAGATTTTTCTCATTGAAGAGGTTTTTAAACTATTTTATTAATTTTTGAGAATGTCTCCCAATATATTTTATATGATTTTCACCCTGAAGTTATTTGTCTCACAAATTAGAATTGCCCTTGTTTAACAAAGTTTTTGACGATATCACCTTTTCTTGCAGTAAAGGTTGGCATCTATTCCCTGGATGATGAATTAGAGGCAGTTACAAAGGAAGCTGTCTTAACTTTCATAGTAAGTATTTCCTCAGTCCCAGGGTACTCCCCTCACAGCTGTATGGACTGAGCAGGGCTGCCCCCTTTCTCAGAATGTCTTGTCACGAGAACAAACTCTTCATAAGTGCTTGCTTGCCCATCTGCTTTCCCATTCAGAGTTGATACGAGGCCGCTCCCCTGTGCATACAGTGTCATCTCCTTATAACTCCATACTCCAGCACTGTGGGACAAAACACATCTCTGGTCTTTAGACAATCACCTGGTCTCAGTTATTCTTTTATACAACAGAAACAAGCTAAGGCAGTTGGGTTTTCTTCCTTCCCTAAAGGACCCTGAAGGATCAGAAGTTGGCACACTACAAGGAAACAATCATACTGGAATTGTCTCTTTTCCTGACTTCAAGATTCCTTCTAACCCGAAGTATGTAATAGAAACTGTTTTCTGAAAAACACACCCGGGACTTTGGTTGTGAGGTAGAGAAGTGGTAAGTGGAGCCACCCCTGCTGACCCAGGCAGCACACAGGTGACCATGTGAAGCCTTCCAAAGGATGCAGAAGGCACGCCCACTTCTCAGCAGAGCAGAGTGGATCCCAGATACCAGACACTGCCCAGCACATCAGGAGGCTCAGATCTCCAGGACACTGAAGAAAGAGGCTCACTTAAATCTAGGCATTAGCAGTTAGCTTTGGCAGATGGCAAACTCTGTTTCAATAAATGAATACATACACATGCTCACACACACACAACCAAACATACACATATACACATACATGCACACAAACACTCTAACACTCTAACACATACACATAAACACACAACCAAACTCTGTCTGTCTGTCTATCTATGCAGATGTGTAGGAAATTTTATTCTACTTGGCCTCATATGCCACAATTCAAGACCAGGTGCATTCCGAAGTTGATGAAATACATATTCAATGTGTGTAAATCACAATAAGAGAGCAAGCTGCCAAACAGAAATGAAACGCTCACAATCCCTGTGTCAAGGGACATAAAGCAGGATGCCTAAGGCAAGGCAGCCACCACACAGATTTTCAGTAGAACCACTTCCCAGCCATTGTTCCTCTGTCCTCTCTGGGGAGTTTGTATTTAGTTCGTTTTGGAAACATTGTTCCTGAAAACATAGCCCAAATTTGGATGCTTGTGTTAGTCTGGAAGATTTAAATTATACAATTTTTTAAAGTGCCATAGGCTTTCTGGTGCAGAACTGAGTTTGTTGCGCTATTACGATTCTTATTTCCCAGACTTCTCGTGTCAATGCCCCATGGCGCATTATAGGAATCCATCTCCAGCCTTAGCAGCTTGGTGCCTGTTGTCCTTTTTGCACAGAACATTCCTCTATGGTCCTCTTGCTTGGACACGGGAAGACGATTCTTATCACAATACCATCCCTGGATATGATGGAATGTCTGCTTTATTCTCTATGTCTACACACGTGTCTCGTGTATTTTCTTTTTAGTCTGTGCCTTATTCATTATTTATTTATGTGTCCAGCCCGGTATTAGACTCTAAACCCCATAAGGGCAAAGCCCTTGTCTACACGGTTCATTTTAGCTCAGCAATTCAGCATTGTAGGCACTTGGTTAAATTGTTGGTGAACTGCTAATAGTAGTCATGGTAACCCTGACATTCGCCTCCATTGATCACATCCCTTATCTTCATGGTAGATATTTTTCTCATTTCCCAAAGGAGATGTAGTCAGTTGCCTAATCAAACCTGCCAGGAAAAATGTGTGAACATCTGAACTGGCATGGACTGGAGGCTCTAAAGTCTGTGGTTCTTCTGTCTTGCTCTTTTGTTATTGTTGTTTGTTTGTTTGTTTGTTTGTTTTTATCCCAATGTAGTACTCACTAATTTTTTGTTTGCTTTTGGTATTTCAAGACACGGTTTCTCTGTGGTGCCCTGGCTGTCCTCACTCTGTAGACAGGCTGGCCTTGAACTCAGAGATCCACCTGCCTCTCCCACCCGAGTGCTGGGATTAAAGGCAGCTGCCACCACTGTCCAGCCTCACTAACTATTTTTGAATGAAGGTTTTTGAACAGGTTAATTTACTCTTTAAACAAACCATGCTTTCTTTCCAATACATTTCTGCTCATATGAGGTATGAATTTCATCACTGGCATTATTACCAATTTTTTTTTACTATATCGTGACTTTAACTTATGAATTCTGGGGTAAGTGAACTTTGAAATGTCATCAGTTCTCGAAACAAAATTACTATATTAAGCTAAAAGATGTAGGAAAGCATACAATATGAAAAACTAATTGTTAAACAATTTCTTTTCCTTTTGAGATACTCAGTTGTCTAACTAATGTTTAAAAATCTTTCCTCTGAACTTTTACTTAGGGTGTGTGCATGTGTGTGTGTATGTGTGTATGTATCCTCATATACTTATATTCTTACCTCTCAAACTAGAAATGACTGGTTTTCCTCTCCATAAATTTGCACTATTTGGTATATCTCTGATTTCAAACATCTGGCGTCCACAGATACGGTAGATGGACAATTAAAGCTAAATACAGAGAGGATGATTCAATAAATGGAACCACACACTTTGACGTCAAAGAACACGGTAATCTTCCGTATAGACTGGTTTATAAAACATTAGTTTTCCCTGGTAATTCTTTTCAGTAATGTGGCTGATGCAAACCCTTCCCAGGTGGGGACGAGGCTCCGGGCCAGGATGAGGAGAAGTCCTGGTTGGGTTGGGACTGGGGAGTCAGTGCTTGCTAGAAGTTGTAGGAGGCCACAACGATGTAGAACAGAATGCTGTCATGGAGTTGTTTTAGAAAGATTTTATGCCTTTCCCACCCCCTTGTCTTTCTCACAGATAAAGCTTACAAAATAACTCTCATGCCAATACGTGATCTGCAGCACCAAGTGGGAATTCCAGGTACTGGAAGGCTTTGGTGGCTGTTCAGGAGCCTGGGGTAATTTGCCTGTCAGTCCCCAGGAAGCTAGCCAGACTCTGTAGGTTCATGTTCATACTAGAAGGGGTGCAGTCTACTGGGGTGCCTGGCATAGGGAGGATCTTTCTACCTTTATGATGTTAGGAAAAATAAACCTTTAGTGTTGATTTATGCAGCTATGTAAACACAGGATTAACTCTTAAGTTGACCGGTGCATTATGGGTGACATCCAAGGAACAAGACCTGCTTTTACGTAATATGACAACCATGTGATACTGAACACTCTCCCCCATGCCATTCTCTCCCTCACAGGTGAAGCCCAAGATGTGAGTCTCCAGCCAGAACATTACCTGAAAGAGAAAATACAGGAACAAGGTACTCCACAAGCTGTAAACTATGATGCCTGTAGCATTCACAGACCAGAGAACATAAGGCACGGGCTTCCCCTAATTAACATGCAGCAGGTGGGGGAATGATGCATGTGGGGTTGAGTTCATCACTCAGAAATGTTCAGTCTGTAAACTCAGGATTTTATCACCCATATCCTTAACCTGAGGAAAACAGTTCTTTGTTATTTTCATGCCTAAACTATGTAGAATATTTGTTTTGCCCAAATATGTATCTGGTGAGGGAGTCCTTTGATGGCAGAGAAAATAGTCCTTGAGATCGATCCCTACCAGGTGTTTGGCTGTTGGTGATAAGGACTTGTCATTACATCCTTTCAGTTTCTACATACAAACATCCAATGCTAAAGAAGTGCTGTTATGACAGAGCTTTACTTAAAACATATGAAACCTGTGAGCAACGAGCTGAACGTGTGAAAATAGGTCCCCGCTGTGTCAGAGCCTTCACTTCCTGTTGTACCCTGGCAAAGAAGATCAGAGATGAACACACCTTTAAACAATGCTATGTGTCACTTCATGTCAGTAAGTATGGCATTTTCTAGTGGAACCTTGCCAAATCTGAGTAACAGCCCCAATTACATGCCAGCCTTTGTAATAGTCGCTGTGGTCATGGTTTCTCTTTGCAGTGCTAGCAACCCTAAGACAACCAGGCATGTTATACATCCCTATGATCCCAGCATTAGGAAGTGTGGTGGATCCCACTGTCCAGCCAGCCTTATAGAAAAGGCAAACTTCCAGTTCAGTGAGAGACTCAAACTCAAGGCAATAGGTGAGAACACAATAGGAAGCCCCCGACATCCTACTCTGTCCTCTCCATGTGTGTTCATGAGCAGGTGCACCCAAACTCTCAGGCATACACACTCACTCTGAATGCTTACATCACATACATATACATGCACCCCAAAAACACTACACAAGTACCTAAAGCTCAGATTGAAGAGATAGCATACAGAAGGGAGAAAATCTTTACCTCCCATTAATCTCACTGGGAATTATTAGTCAGAATGTGTAAAGAAACAGAAAACTCAATGCCAAATAAACAATCCAACCAATAAAGGAGCAAATGAGTTGGATGCAGTTTTAAACAGAAGTACAAATGCCAAGAAATACTTGAAAACATGCTCATCACTGCTGTGTGACTTCTTGAAGAGTCACAAACAAACATCTATTCGCCCAGATCTATGACAGATCAAAGAACCAATTCTACTCAAGACAAGCTTGGTGACTGTAAGAGTTCATTGGGGTCACAGGAGCATGGGGTGATTTGAGGCAACTGAATTTCCAAAAGACCCACCCTAATGTGGGTAAAGAATCAAGAAAGCTGCAGCCCTGCAATTTCCTGACAAATTTCCAGGCAGTCCCCCTAAGCATCTCTTCTCCTCTAGCAATTGTATATTGCTTACAGAAAGTCAGGGGGGTTCATGGGAATCTCGTCACTCCCTGTGCCTTCTGAGCCTTGTTTCATGAGCTTCCTGAACTCATGAGTTTCCTTTGGCTTTGAGTCTTATGAACCTCCCACTCTTCTCCAAAGTGGTTTCATTCGGGGTGAATGTCTACATTAGCCATCAGGGAAATGTAAATCAAATCTACATAGAGATTCTGTTTACCAGTTGGAGAGGTATCAAGAGAAATTTTGGAGAGGGAATGAGAGAAAAGGAATTAGTATCAAGATTTCTCAAAAAACTAAAACTAGAACTGCCATATGCCCCCATACAAATCCTGGGTGTGAACCCAAAATGTAAAAGTCAGCCTAGGAGAGAGATAGCTGTACCCCCATGCTTATTGCAGCAATAAATAACACTTGATTTAAGGGATCAGCCTGAGTGCCTAGCACTGAAAGAAGGATAAAGACAATGTAGTGTAGGAACACAATGGAGTTCTATTCATTCATAAAGAACTAATAGAATTGGGGCTGGAGAGGATGCTCAGTGGTTAAGGGTGTACTCTGCCTTTGCAGAGGATCCACGTTTGGTTCCCAGCACCTGCACAGAAGCTCCCAATAACCTGTAACTCCAGCCCCAGGGGATCTGTGCCTCACTGGGTTCTGAGGACACCAACATTCACATATGCACATAGCTACACACACATACACACACACACACACACACACACACACACAAACTCACGGGCACACTTAAAAACATATCTTTTCAAAAGATAACAAAATTACAACAGTTGCAGAAAATGGATGAAACAAGATTAACATGTTAAATGAAGTAAGCGAGTATCAGAAAAACAAAAAGTCTGTTTTCTGTAATATATTGAGACCAGTTCTTAGTTATTTTTCTGTCGCCATGACAAAACACTGTGACCAAGACATCATGAAAGAAAACAGTTAATTTGGGGGATCATGATTCCAGAGGATTAGAGTCCCAGGTGGATCATGATTCCAGAGGATTAGAGTCCCGGGTGGATCATGATTCCAGAGGATTACAGTCCCGGGGGGATCATGATTCCAGAGGATTACAGTCCCTGGGGGATCATGATTCCAGAGGATTACAGTCCCGGGGGGATCATGATTCCAGAGGATTAGAGTCCCGGGCCATCATGGTGAGGAAGATGACAGCAAGAAGGCGGGTATTGAGCTGGAGCAGTAGCAGAGCTCTGTCTGATCTTCAAGGACAAGCCAGAGAGAAAGGGACACAGCTACCTGGGGATGTCATGGGCTTTTGACCCCTCAAGGCCAATCCACACTGACACACCTGGATCAACAAGGCCACACCTCCTTCTCCTTCCCAAACAGTTGTTGCACCAGCTTGGAACCAAACACTAGAATTTGTAGGAAAAATACTCACACACATAAAATAAAATTTAAAAAATAGTCTATGGTGCTGACCATAGCATTTACACAAATGTAATCCTGATGTCTCAATAGACTGAGGCAGAGGGATCACAAACTCAAAACCTGCCTGGGCTTCATCCACATTTCCAGGCCAACATGATGAGTTATGATGTTATAGTAAAGAATGGATTCTGCCTGTAGATGGAGGGATATCCTTGTCTCTTCCCTTAAGATTCAGTCAGCATATACCCAAAGATGTACTGTCACACCACAAGGACATATGCTCAACTATGTTCATAGCAGCTTTGTTCATAATATCCAGAACTTGGAATCAGCCTATATTCCCCTCAACCAAAGAATGGATAAGGAAAATGTGGTACATTTATGTAATGGAGAATGATGACAACGTGAAATTTGCAGGCAAATGGATGGAAGTAGAAAAAGACATTTTGAGTGTGGTAACCCAGAATGAGAAGGAGAAATATCGTAAGTGGATATTAGAAATAAAGCAAAAGACAACCAAACCGCAGCCACAACCCCCAGATCACCTAGATACCAAAGAGGACCCTTAGAGACACACATAGCAAAACATGCCTTGGGATGAGGCTCCCTAGCTGAGCACTCACCTACCACATTGGAGGCGAGATGGTCACGTCCAGTTTCCAAACCTGCGTTATGCTGTGGATGACCACGCCCATCTCACACCACCCATGCTGTAGTTTTCCTCCTGTTAGAAGGTTGGGGAAGCATCCTGAAAATGGCCAGATTTGAGAATGTCAAAGCTCGGGTCCTAAGTCTCAGAGGTTCTGGTACTAGGATGACTCGAAACAGTAGGGTGTGCCATGCTCCTCACTGTTGGCTCTTTTTGGTGATAATTTAGGTTCATGACCATAAATGGTCTTTCTGTGACTGGAAGTTTGAGACCTGCTGGAGAAGGGCTGGATGTGTCCCACATGCCTGTGAGGTGGAGTTCATGTGGCTTCAGTTACCAAAACACCTGGCCACACACGGAAGAGAAGCTGTAGTCGTTGGCATCGGAAACGACAGCATTTTCTGTCACCATTGGTATGAAAACTGTCTGGACTGCACTGATGCCAAAGTGACCTGTTGCTCCAATTGTCATTTAGATCCTTTTGTGTAGCACGATGAACAAAAGACCCAGAGAGAGATGTTGGGATTCAAGCTTCAAGCTGATGATCTGAGGAGCAAAGCAACCAGCGACTAGCTCTCACCTGTACCTCAGCTGAGACCAAAGGGCAGATACTCAGACTGCTCCCAACTTCACTGCTCCTCAGATTCCCTCAAACTGCTATGCTCTCCTCAATGTGGCTGGAGACGAACTCTCAGACTGAGTGTCAACTCTGAGACCCTGTTCCTGTCTTATACACCTCCCTAATGCTGGAATTAAAGGCATGTGATCCCAGGTGCTAGTTGTTTCTTTTAGGGACTGGACAGATTTCATGTAGTCAGTGTTGTCTTGAAGTGGCAGAGATCTGTCTACGTCTTAATCCTGAGTCCTGAATTTTTTTATCCCAGCTCCCTCTCCCACCCCTCTTCCCTTGTCCCTCCACCAGTGCCCCCAACCCCTGACCCAATCCCCATACCATTCCCCAGGGAGGATGAGACCCTGTTTGGGGGGATCTCCAGAGCCTGTCATTTCATCCAGGGCAGGACCTAGGCCCTTCCCCATGTGTCCATGAAGACAGAGAATCCCTCCATGTGGAATGGGCTCCCAAAGTTCATTCGTTTGCCATGGTAAACACTGATCTACTACCCAAGGCTCCAAAGATTTCTAAGGCCTACTCACTAACACTGCATTTGTGGATTCTGGATCAGTTCCCCTGTTGGCCTCTCAGCCATCAGTCTGGGGTTCAAGAGCTCCCCCTTGTCCGGTCAGCTGTCTTTGTGGGTTTCACCAGCATGGTCTTGACCCCTTTGCTCATCACTTCTCCATCTCTGTCACTGGGTTCCAGGGGTCCAGTTTAATGTTTAGCTGTGTGTATCTGTCTCTGCTTCCATCAGTCACTGGATGAAGGTTCTAGGATGGCATATAAGGTAGTCATCAGCCTTACCATCAAGGAGGAGCTATTAATGTAGTCTCTCCACTATTGCTTAGTTTTCTAGTTGGAGTTATCCTTGTAAGTCTCTAGAAATTAACTAGTGTCAGCTCTCTTGAAACCTCTAATGACTCCATCTATTATGGTATCTCTCATCCTGCTCTCTTCTATACTTATCCCGACTCAACCTTCCTGCTCCCCCATGTCTTCTTCTACCCTCCTCTTATCCCCCTCTCTTTTTCTTGGTTCCCTCTCTACTCCCCCCATGTTCCCAATCTGCTCAGGAGAGCTTGCCTCATTCCACTTCTCTGAGGTATCGTGCATATCTCTTGGGAAACTCCCTGGTTCCCAGACCAACTGGCACTGGAATTGTAGGCTAACAGTCCCCTGATCCATGTCTTAAATCCATATATGAGTGAGTACACACCGTGTTTCTCTTTTTGTGACTGGGTTACCTCACTCAGGATGGTTTCTTCTAGTGCCATCCATTTGCCTACAAATTTCAAGATTCCATTGTTTTTTTTCCACTGAGTAGTACTCCAAGGTGTAAATGTACCACATTTTCTCTATCCACTCTTCAGTTGTGGGGCATCTAGGTTGCTTCTAGGATCTATTACAAATAATGCTGCTATGAACATAGTGGAACAGATGTCCTTGTTGTATGGATGGGCATCTTTGGGGTATATGCCTAAGACTGGAATTGCTGGGTTGTGTGGTAGACTGATTCCCATTTTCCTGAGGAACCACCATACTGATTTCCAAAGTGGCTGTATGAATTTGCACTCCCACCAGCAATGGACAAGTGTTCCCCTTTTTCCACATCCTCTCCAGCATAAGCTGTCATTGGTGTTTTTGCTTTTAGCCATTCTGACAGGAGTAAGATGATATCTCAGGGTTGTTTTGATTTGCATTTCCCTAATAGCTAAGGATGTTGAGCACTTTCTTAAGTGTCTCTCAGCCATTTTAGACTCCTCTATTGAGAATTCTCTATTTACTTCTGTACCCCACTTATTAATTGGATCTTTTGGTGTTTTGGAGATTTGCTTCTTGAGTTCTTTGTAAATTTTGGAGATCAGCTCTCTGTCAGATGTGGAGTTAGTGAATATCTTTCCCCAATCTGTGAGGTGCCTTTTTGTCCTGCTGACTGTGTCCTTTGCCTTACAGAACCTACTCAGTTTCAGGAGGTCCCATTTATTAATTGTCAATCTCAGTGTTTGTGCTACTGGTGTTATGTTCAGGAAGTGGTCTCCTGTACCAATTCCTTCAAGGGTACTTCCCACTTTCTCTTCTAACAGGTTCAGTGTGGCTGGATTTATGTTGATGTCTTTGATCCATTTAAACTTAAGTTTTGTGCATGGTGATAGACAAGGATCTATCTGCTGTCTTCTACATGCCAATATCCAGTTATGCCAGCACCATTTGTTGAAGACGCTATCTTTTTTTCCATTGTATAATTTTAGCTTCTTTGTTGAAAATCAGGAGTTCATAGGTTTGTGGATTAATCTCAGGGTGTTCAATAAGATTCTGTTGGTCTACCTGTCTATTTTTGTGCCAATACCAACCTGTTTTCAGGACTACAGCTCTATAATAGAGCTTGAAGTCAGGAATGGTGATGCCTCTAGACGTTGCTTGTTGAGCAGGGTTGTCTTGGCTATCCTGGGTTTTTTGTTTTTCCATATAAAGTTGAGAATTGTTCTATCAAGGTCTGTGAAGAATTGTGCTGGGATTTTGATGGGGATTGCGTTGAGTCTGTTGATTGTTTTTGGCAGGATTGCCATTTTTACTACATTGATCCTACCTATCCAAAAGCATGAGAGATCTTTCCATTTTCTGGTGTCTTCTTTAATTTCTTTCTTTAAAGACTCAAAGTTCTTACAATACAGGTCTTTCACTTGTTTGGTTAGCACCACCCCAAGGTATTTTATGTTGTTTGTGGCAATTGTTTATATATATATATATATATATATATATATATATATGTATATATAATTTTAAATTTAAATTTAACTTAGAAACAAGGTTGCTTCACATGTCAATTCCACATCCCTCTCTGTTTCCCTCCCCTCCTCCTGTGCCCTCCCACCAACCCCCCAATATCCCCTCATTTCCCCTCCATGGAGGTGTCCATAGTCTGTCATTTCATCCAGGGCAGGGCCTGGACCCTCTCCCAAGAGTTCAGGGTGAGAGTGCATTCCACCCAAACGCAAAGGGATATACTTCCTCTCGGAGCCACATGGAGCCTTCTCTAAAATTGACCACATAATAGGAAACATAGCAAATCTCCACAGATACAACAAAATGGAATAACTCCCTGTATCTTATCAGACCACCATGCATTAAACATTAAAATTAGAATTCAATAATAACACAAATCGCAGAAACCCTACAAACTCATGGAAATTGAACAATGCACAATTGCACCATCCCTGGGTAAAGGAAGAAATAAAAAAGAAATTAAAGACTTCCTGGAATTCAATGAGAATGAAGACACAACATACCCAAACTTATGGGACACTTTGAAAGCAGTGCTGAGAAGAAAGTTCATAGCACTAATTGCCCACATGAAGAAACTGGAGAACAGTCACACTAGAGAATTAATAGCACAGCTGAATGTTCTAGAACAAAAAGAAGCAAACTCACCCAGGAGGAGCAGACGCCAGGAAATAATCAAATTGAGGGCGGAAATCAATCAAGTAGAAACCAGGAAAACGTTGAGAAGAATCAATGAAACAAAGAGTTGGTTCTTTGAGAAAATTAACAAATAGACAAACCTCTGTCCAAACTAACCAAAAGACAGAGAGAGAGCATGCTAATTAACAAAATCAGAAATGAAAAGGGGGACATAACAACGGACACTGCGGAAATCCAGAGAATCATCAGGGCATACTTTGAAAATCTGTAATCCACAAAATTCAAAAATTTAAAGGAAATGGACAATTTCCTGGGTAGTTATCACTTGCCAAAACTAAATCAAGAACAGATAATCTAAACAGACCTATAACCCTTAAAGAAATAGAAGTAGTCATCAAAAGTCTCCCAACCAAAAAAAAAAGTCCAGGAACAGATGGCTTCAGTGCAGAATTCTAACAGAAATTAAAAGAAGAGCTAATTCCAATAATCCTCAAAATATTCCACACAATAGAAGCAGGAGGCCCACTGCCAAACTGTTTTTACCTTGATACCCAAGCCACACAAAGACACACCTTAGAAAGAGAACTATAGACCAATTTCCCTCATGAACATCGATGCAAAAATACTCAATAAAATACTAGCAAACTGGATTCAAGAACACATCAGAAAAATCATCCACCATGATCAAGTAGGTTTCATCCCAGGAATGCAGGGATGGTTCAACATTAGAAAAATCTATCAATGTAATCCACCATATAAACAAACTTCGAAAGAAAAACCACATGATCATCTCACTAGATGCTGAAAAAGCCTTTGACAAAATCCAGCACCCCTTCATGATAAAGGTCCTAGCGAGATCAGGGATAACAGGAACGTACCTGAACATAATAAAAGCAATATACAGTAAACCAACAGCTAACATCAAACTAAATGTAGAGAAACTCAACGCGATTCCTCTAAAATCAGTACTGGAGGGATATAAAAGATAGAAGCAGGGTCTTCAGTAGTCAGGAGCAGGCATTCATTCTCCAGGCACACTGAGAATGGGAAGACATCGAAGATCAGAATTCTCCAGCCACGCTGAGGAGAGGTTACAGCGTGAGGTTTGGTGGGGCCAGGATCACCTTTCAGTCAGAGGTAGAGCTAGTGCCCGGCTGCTGTGCTTTTCTGATCTTCATCCTGAAGTTTGAACCCCAATATCTGTCTCTGGGTCTTTTGTTTTTCATGTTACAAATGATTTGTGTTGGTTCTAAGTGAAACAAATATTAAGATTGTAGTAAGATATTGTATAGTATCACTGTTTGGCACCCAAGGCATTCTGTGGCACTGCACGAACACGGTGACGCAGGTTTACGGGTACACAGCCGTCTGCTGTGACCACGGCTTCCTGAGAGGAGTCCTACACACAGTTCTGGCCAAGCCGTCTCCAGAATGTAGGTTACCAAACTGCAGTCTGAACTACGGGTGTTTACCTCATCCATCTCATGTCTTTCGTATGTGAAATGTCTCTTCTTATATCACACAAGTGAACGACTATTGATACATTTTATGTGTTTGGATTAAAATGTGAGTGAGACAAGCTTACATATAAGAAATAGGAAATGTTAAGTAAAGAATCAACGTCTCATTTAGGGTCATCATAAAGAAGTGTAAATGTCTGAGTGAGGTAGATACAAATCTGAATATATAATGTATATAATATACCATAGATTGTTGTTAGTATTTTTTGCTTTGTGCTTGAATTAAACAAATCTTATTTCAGCACATTCGTAAATAATGTTTAAAGAAAATCAGAGAGGTATTCACATCCTAACAATGCAAAAAATGACTGACTCAATGGAATATATGTGAAGAACACCATGCATTTATTTACCAAGAGAAATGAAAATAACTGGTAAAAGAGTTATATTTTCAGCACAAATATAAATATAATTATAAAGATAAGTGATACCTTGTAATGTTTTTTACAACCTACTTAGAACACAGTCCACCTGACATAAATTCTCTCTTGTCCTTTATTTCTTCATTACTAATATGTTTCTGAGCTTTCAGTCTTTCCCTAATGGCAGATGGGCCAATATGGAAGAAAGATGGGGGTCAGAGGTCAATGTTGGTGATTCACAGGAAGCATGATCCAGCTGTTACAAAGAAACTGGCTGAAGATATACTAAGAAGGCACAACTCCCAAGTTATCTATACTCTAGAAGTTATTCTTGCCAGAAAAGCACATTGCAAAAAGAAGTCTTTTCATATTCGTATATTGCCTTAAAGGGAGACCATCACATCTTACGTCAGGCATTAGAAACTTAGCTCGGAGGAAATGCATTCCAGTTCAGTGGCTTTTCTGGATATTGCTGCTGAAGACTGCTCAGAAGCACGCTACCTGTTAGGACTTCTCTCGGTGTGGTTCTGTTCTTCCGCTGTCACTCTCTCCAACTTTCTCTGCTTTACAGTGGGCTTAATGCTACACTATTCATGTCACTCAGCTTTCCTGGCCTCTGCCAGAGGGACTCACATTATCAGTTTTGTGGGCCTTTTATTCAAACTTTCATGGAGATGTCTAGAGAGTGTCCTGAAGCATGGGGTCTCTGAAAATGAGGAGAAAATCATATAAGGTTGGTAGGGGGAAAGAGAATAAGGATTTGCAATGCTTAGCACTTCTTTTAGAAGTAGAGTCCACTGAAGTTCTGCTGGTGACTGGAGAGCGGGCTCAGAGGTTAATAGCACTGGTGGCTCTTCCAGAGGACCCAGGTTCAATTCCCACCCATGGCGGTAAGCATGTGGGACATCTTCTGGCTCTTCAGGCACCAAGCATGTACACGACACACAGATATACATGCAGGCAAAACATGCATACACATAAAATAAAAATAAATTTAAAACATTAAAGGAAAAGTTATGTGGTACTTGGCTTTTCTTTTAACAGAGATATATATTTGGTATGGGTTCATTTAAAAGTCATTTGCAAAAGAAAGAAGTTGAAAATGTGGGAGAGGTATCATGCTAGAAAGCGCAATCCTAAGAGTTTTGTGGCTGCTTCTATGGTTTCCAGATGAGGAGGACCACATTTGGGCATCCCCTTGAAGCAGGATCCATCCCCTGGGGACTGAAGAAGTTGTGTCTCAGAGGTTACCATAAAAAGGAGTTGCTCCCAGGCACTGGCTGGATCAGAACAAATCCCCATTTACTTTGGGACTATATTAACTCCCTACAAGCAGGTGACAATTCCATAACAGTCTTACAGGAAGGTGTGGCAATTTAAGTCTATGATCCTAACACTTTTCAGGAAGAGGCAGGAGATCTCTGCTATAAGTTAAAGGCCAGCCTGGTCTACATGTTGAGGTCTAGACCAAACAAGGAATTTAGCAGAACCCCATCTCAAAAATTTCAAAATTGAATTAAATTTGTCTTCCAACACAGATGTAATATCTTAAAATATGCCTGGAAATTAAAAATAGCTGTGTAAAAAGTATGTATCTGTTAGTGGCAGGGCAGATGTCAGAGGTTTTCATGAGTGCTATCTTTTGAGAAAACTGTGCTGGTGTACAAGCTACTGCAATGTTATAAAGTATTAATTCAGTGGTTAAAATAACAACAGACACTCTCTTCACAATGGCTTATCTAGGTGAGCATAACTTCAGTTCCTTACGAAGTTGCAGTCAAAGTGTCAGCCAGGATACAGCCATCTAAAAGGAAGACTGAGCTGTGGGGATCACTTCCAGGGCCGCTTGCTCACAGGGCTCTGAGCACGAGGGTGTGTGTGTGTGTTTATATGTACTCACCCACCTGCATGTCTGGTTGAGGTAGAGTTGGGCACAGGTGCTTATACTTGCCTGGCAAGCTCTTTATCAACTGAGCTGTCCTACCTTGGGGTTTTTGAACGTCTTCATTTCATGCAGTCTAGTTTCTCCCAGAACAGGCAGTCCATGATTGTACAGTGCAGGAGCAGTAATGTAACTATGACCTAACCTCATGAGTCACACACTTAAACTTTTGTCACAGTCAAATGGACCCAAGCCGGATACCTTGGGATGAGGCACATGTATGGACACTTGGGAGGCAAGGACCAGTAGGGGATGTCTCTGAGGCTAGCTACACCACCAAACCAATGGATGAGTAACAAGACACTACAGTTTGTGTCTATAAAGATGTAAGAACAATAGCAATGAGATATGGAACTGGATTTGAGACCAAAGTCACTCTGAGGGACAAGTCGCTTTGGCAGCCCACCACAGTTAAATAAAACGTGTGACACTTTCAAGTCTCCATTTAGAAGGATTCCGTTTCAGAGGAGATGTCCCCCTTTCTCTGGTTGTCCTCGGACTGCATGAACTCCATGGGGCAGGAAACGGGCCACACCAGCTCTCCTGTGCTAGCCAGAGTGCAGGCTGCAGAAGCCAACAGTGTTGTGGTCTGCACCTGTAACAGCGGTACACAAAACACTGGGACTCTGCTCATTTGCAACCCGTCAACAGTTCCTCCCTGCAAACTATTTGGCTTTGAAAATCAGACATCAAGACCTTTTTTTTTTTTAATTATTTATGAAAAGGAAGTCTGTGGTTCGTATTAATAGTTGATTCCTAGAACTTTTCTCTTTACTAAATGAATGTGAAATCTCTACATAAAGAGTGTTCACTTGAAAGACCCACCTTCCAGGAGCCCCTTCACATCTTAGACACTTATTAAACAATAAAGGAAGGGGTGTGGGTACAGGAGACCACAGCAGGACCCAGATGGAGAGAGGCTCTGAGGACCATGTTGTCCTAATCAGGCTTCCTGCTGCTGTGACAAACTCCATGGCAAAGGTAATTTGGGGTGGACGGGGCTCGTTCCAACTCACAGGTCCACATCACAGTCACCAATGAGGGAAGTCAGGGCAGGAATTCAAGCTTCGCACCAGGAGCCGAGGCAGAGGCCATGGAGGGGTGCGGCTGCTGGCTTGCTCCTCATGGCCTGCTCAGCCTGTTTTCATACATAGCTCTCAGTACCACCTGACCAGCCAAACAATGCACACAACGGGCTGGCCCCTCCCACATCAATCACCCATCAAGAACATGCCCCATAGGCTAGCCACTGGCCAATCCAGTGGGGGCGTTTCTCAACTGAGGTTCCCCTTTACAGAATGACTCTAGTTTGTCTCAAGTTGACAAAAAACTAGCCAGCACATGTCTGGCCCCCAGAAGCCAGGTGAAAGTTGCTGGAGGTTCACTGACCCTCAGGGTTTCTAGCAGAGCTGAGCTGAGCTGAGCTCAGGGCTACAAAAAGAAACCATGTTTCAAAAAAAAAGATAGAAAGGAATGAGGTATTTCTTTTTTTTTTTTCAGTTTCTTGCCAGAATATTTATTCATTTCCTGATAATTCTTTTTTTATTTTATTTTCCAGTTTAAATTTAGATAAGAAACAAGGTTGCTTCACAAGTCAGTTCCAGGTCCCTCTCCCATTCCCTCCCCTCCTCCCGTGCCCTCCTCCCAACCCCCCCCCCCGTTATCCCCTCATTCCCCCAGGGAGGGTGAGGCCCTCCATGGGGGTGTCCATAGTCTGTCATTTCATATAGGGCAGGGCCTAGACCCTTCCCCAAGAGTTCAGGGTGAGAGTGCACCTCACATTGTTCTATTGGAGTCCAAAGTCCGTGTGTATACTTGGGATGGGTACTGATCTGCTGCCCAAGGCTCAATAGATTACCTAGGCCTCCTCACTGACACCCACATTCAGGGGGTCTTGATCAGTCCCATGCTGGATTCCCAGGCTGATGCCTGGGATTCAAGAGTTAACCTTTGTCTGGTCAGCTGTTTCTGGGGGTTAAACCAGCCCAGTCTTAATCCCTTTGATCATCAGTCCTCCCTCTCTGTTACTGGCTTTCTTGAGTTCAGCTCAGTACTTAACTGAGGGAGTCTGCCTCTTCTTCGATCAGCCACTAAATGAAGTTTCTGTTTCCCAGACTCTCTGGCCATAGGATTGTAGACTGGCACTCCCAAGATCTATGTCTAAAATCCATATATGAGAGAGTACATGCCATGTTTCTCTTTTTGTGACTGGGTTACCTCACTCAGGATCGTTTCTTCTAGTCTCATCCATTTGCCTGCGAATCTCATGATTCCATTATTTTTTTCTGCTGAATAGTACTCCATTGTGTAGATGTACCACATTTTCTCTATCCACTCTTCGGTTGAGGGACATCTACGTTGCTTCCAAGTTCTGGCTATTACAAATAAGGCTGCTATGAACATAGTGGAACAGACATCTTTGTTGTATGAATGGGCATCTTTTGGATATATGCCTAAGAGTGGAGTTGCTGGGTCTTGTGGTAGGTTTATTCCCATTTTTCTGAGGAATCTCCATACTGATTTCCAAAGTGGCTGAACCAGTTGGCACTCCCACCAGCAATGGAGGAGTGTCCCCCTTTCACCACATCCTCTCCAGCATAAATTGTCATTGGTGTTTTTGATTTTAGCCATTCTGACAGGAGTGAGATGGTATCTCAGAGTTGTTTTGATTTGCATTTCCCGGATGGCTAAGGATGTTGACCACTTTCTCAAGTGTCTCTCAGCCATTTTAGACTCCTCTATTGAAAACTCTCTATTTAGTTCTGCAGCCCACTTTTTAATTGGGTCCTTTGATGTTTTGGAGACTTGCTTCTTGAGTTCTTTGTAAATTTTGGAGATCAACCCTCTGTCAGATGTGGGATTAGTGAATATTTTTTCCCATTCTGTGGGCTGCCTTTTTGTCTTGCTGACTGTGTCCTTTGCCTTACAGAAGCTTCTCAGTTTCAGGAGGTCCCATTTATTAATTGTTGATCTCACTGTCTGTGCTAGTGGTGTTATGTTCAGGAAGCTGTCTCCTGTACCAATTCATTCAAGGGTACCACCCACTTTCTCTTCTAAGAGGTTCAGTGTGGCTGGATTTATGTTGAGGTCTTTGATCCATTTGGACTTAAGTTTTGTGCATGGCGATAAACATGGATCAATCCGCATTCTTCTACATGCCAGTCTCCAGTTATGCCAGCACCATTTGTTGAAGATGCTTTCTTTATTCCATTGTATATTTTTAGCTTCTTTGTCAAAGATCAGATGTTCGTACGTGTGTGGGTTAATACCCGGGTTTTCAATTCGATTCCATTGGTCTACCTGTCTATTTTTGTGCCAATACCAAGCTGTTTTCAGGACTATAGCTCTGTAATAGAGCTTGAGGTCAGGGATGGTGATGCCTCCGGACGTTGCCTTGTTGAACAGGGTTGTTTTGGCTATCCTGGGTCTTTTGTTTTTCCATACAAAATTGATTATTGTTCTTTCAAGGTCTGTGAAGAATTGTGCGGGGGGGGGGGGGGGATGCGTGCATTTATCAGCTACTTGGATAACTGTGGAATGAGGTATTTCTACAAAATAAGAGTGACCCACCCACACTTGCCTATTCCACACACAACATCCAATACTTGTAGAAAGGTGGCACAGATTAAACCATGAAGAAAACCCACGTTCGAGCCACATTTAGAAGACAGCTGGGTGTACACATTTTCTGATAAACAGTCGAGACTCTATGAATTGTTGAGAACTGTTACTTCTTAAACATTTTCTACAAGAGCGATTTGGAC